AAGGATTATCAACCTGAGGATGATCTTAAGAAAACTGCTAGTGATTTTCTTTCTAAAGTGGATGATCCCAAGCTCAACAACTCTGAGGTGAGAAATGTCTTGAAGAGGGCTGAGCTGGAAGAACTCTAGAGTATATAAGAAATGTGGAGATTTGAGATGGTGGGGGGGTGGGAGGGAGAGGAGGGAAAAAAAAAAATGCCTCCTGTCGTCCCATGTTTCCTATTTCTTCCCCAATTGCTAGCAGGTGAACCTTGCAATCCCTTTCAGATGTTATCCCTCTCTACAATATATGCCTGGTGAAGTAGGAAGTCTTTTTAGCTTTCTGTGCTGGCTTTGCAGAGAAAAATCCTCTTAGTGAAGAAGAGGCAGGGGCAGAGGGATTGTTGCTAAAGCATTTGCCCAGTTCCACCCTTGTTTCATTTCTCTGCCACAGTTCCTAAAGTTTGTTCGCCAGATCGGAGATGGGAGGGTATCGATCGAAGCTAATCAGGTGACCCTCAGAGACCAAGATCAGGCAGAACAATGGGCAACTGAGTTTATGCAGCAGCAGGTAGGAGCTGAGCCCTGTGTGCACCCAAGGTGAAAAGTTCTTTGCTGCAGTGCACACTCTGGGGGCTAGGGAGAATGGCAAGTCAAACTCTCAGCAATGCTTACTAATAACTAGTCTGGGGCGGGGGAGGAAAGGGGCACAACACTGCTGACCTCTTCATTTCAGAGTCTAGTCAGAAGTTGGGAAGGTCTTGGGTAGTATGAATTTTCCCATCACACGTAGCACCTGGGGGGAAGGGAGAATCGACAAGAACTTTTCTCCTTTGTATAGGCCGTCAGCTATTGCTGATGGGGAGGAGAGGTCATCTGCTGTTTTGGGATGTGCCCTGAGGTTGCCAGATTCTAAAAAGAAAAGTGTGTTTCTGTTTCCACACTCCCAGGGGGCATCCGATGCCTGGGTGGATCAGTTTGTGCAATCTGGGAACATGTCAACTCTTGATACGGAATTTGAGCAGGCAAAGACTGCTGTGGAGGTAAAGCTGGAGGAGGAGGAGGGCTGGGGTACCAACAGAGAGCCCATCATGGGGGTACCTCTCTCCTTTGCATGCTGTGAGGAGGGCTAGAATGCTAAGAAGATGTTCTCTGGGATATCTCTAGAGCTCACTTAGTCTGACATGGTCTAGTGTTCTTCTGTTCTCCCTTCAGTCAGATGTGGACTTCTGGGACAAACTCCAGGCAGAATGGGAGGAGATGGCCAAGAGAGATGCAGAGGCTCACCCCTGGCTCTCTGATTACGAAGACCTAAGCTCCTCTTCATATGACAAGGTAATGGAGAACAAGATCTCCTAGCCCTGTGGTAGGTTACGCTGAAGAAACTGGCATGATCTTTGCCTCCCTGGTAAACTCCTCAGATCCCAAATGCTCCTAGGATTCTTCCTCACACTGATCTCCTGCAATTGTTTGCACCTTCAAACCTGGGTCACTAGGGCTTCAGTTAGGTACCACACATGTACTCCTGTACAGAAGCGATCTAGTTCTTGTCCTGCAGCAAGCACCAATTAATGCTGAGATTCCTTGGAATGAACAGACTAATTCTCTGTTCAGTCCAGGCCAACCCAGAGCCAGTAGGGACCCCACCAGATATTCAATTACTGCTGGAACTGTGCAGCTTATGTGTTTCTGGCAGGGCCAGGCCAGACTGAGATGTGCTCTAGAGGGAGCTTCACTTTCTAAGCCTGTCCCCTCCTATTATCTCCCTGCTTGTCCTTCCTCTCAGGGTTACCAGTTTGAAGAAGATAATCCCATGAGGGATCATCCTGAGGCATTTGAAGAAGGACGGAAACGCTTGGAGGAAGGAGACCTCCCCAATGCTGTCCTGCTGTTTGAGGCTGCAGTGCAGCAGAAACCAGATCATATGGAGGTGAGTGGGATCCAAGCTGTCAAGCCTGTGCCAGTTAGTTATCTTGCTGCTTGGTTCCTTTTTAGAAAAACCTGGGAACCTCTACAGCTGGTGTGTGTCTTTGACTCATATATAATATATATTTGGTCTCCCTCTGTGAGGGAGTGGTCTCACCAATGTGTGGGATACTGTAGCAGAATTAATCTCTGTTCCTGTCATTGGTTGGCTGATATTTTTCTCTGCATCTGAAGAAGACTGACTTCGTGCATCTTTCTCTTCTCCAGGCCTGGCAATATCTGGGAACCACCCAAGCAGAGAATGAACAGGAGCTTTTGGCAATCAGCGCCCTCAGGCAGTGAGTATCACAGAAGGTCCTCTGACCAACACTTGCTGTTTTGTGCATAATGCCCCAAGGACCAGCTGGCTAATGAGATGCACTGTCTCGATTGCATTACCTCCTGTACCTGAATATCTCCCAATTTAATGCTGTAGTTGTTTTTCTGTCTTTGATCTGCAGGTGCCTGGAACTGCAGCCTGGGAACCTCACGGCGCTCATGGCGTTAGCGGTCAGCTTCACCAACGAATCCCTGCAGAAGCAGGCGTGCGAGACCCTGCGAGACTGGCTGCGCAACAAACCAGCCTACGCTCACCTGCTGGAGAAGGAACCCGAGGGGAGTGTGTCAGGGACAAACCTTGGGCCTCCCAAGCGTGTGTTGAGCTCCCTGGTGTCCGAGTGAGTTTAGGGGTATACATTTCAGCCTTTGGCTGAAAGTTTTCTTCAAGGGTCAGGACTTCGCTGGGCAGGAGCAGAGCAAGCCACTCAGTTGCCTTACTTCACAGTGCCCAAATGCTCTTGTTTCTGTTTCCATAGCTCACTCTTTACAGAGGTGAAGGAGCTGTTCTTGGCAGCTGTGCGCAGCAACCCCTCAGCTGTGGATCCTGATGTTCAGTGTGGCCTGGGTGTCCTTTTCAACCTGAGTGGCGAGTATGAGAAGGCTGTGGATTGCTTCAGTGCTGCACTCAGCGTGCGCCCCAATGTGAGAAAGGGTAGAACAGTGTGCCCTGGGGGGGATGCTTGGAGTGGGCGGGAGTGCCTTTATGAGTGAGTGGAGGTGGTGCTTATCTGAAGGGTGTATCTCTTGGATCCAAGTCAGATAGGCAGGGAAGGAAGGTTGGTTTGGAGCGTAGAGATCTGTTTGTCTCAGTCCCTCTCTGCTGCTTTCTCCAGGACCATCTTTTGTGGAACAAGCTTGGTGCCACCCTGGCCAATGGGAATAGGAGTGAGGAAGCTGTGGCTGCCTATCGTCGAGCGCTGGAGCTCCAGCCTGGTTACATCCGGTCTCGCTACAACTTGGGCATCAGCTGCATCAACTTGGGTGCCCATCGGTGAGTCAGGGTGGGCAGATGTGCTGCGGGCTGTAAGCCTGTGTGTTTGTGGGAGAGAGACTGTACAACATTATGGGGTAGCGCTGTGCCACATGCAGCCTTCTTTTGGCACTGGAGAGCAGAGTGTCTGTTTGTGAACACAGTCATGAGAGGGGGGAAAAAGTGTCAAGCAATAGCAGCTAGATCAGGGAGTATCTGGGTTTTGGTTTCCATTAAGAGAAAAAAGGGGGGGATCTCTGGCACTTCTGGAGGAGAACAGGGTTTGGTGAAAAGGGGGAAGGTATTTGGGAAGAGGGGAGGAGTACGTAGGTTCAGAAGAAATGGGGAAGGAAGCATGGAATATATCATCCTCTGTAGTAAGAAGGTATGTGTTCTCATGTTGACAGCGAGGCTGTGGAGCACTTCTTAGAGGCTTTACATATGCAGCAGAAGAGCCGAGGCCCACGTGGGCAGCAAGGTGCCATGTCTGACAACATCTGGAGCACCCTGCGCATGGCCCTCTCCATGCTGGGGCAGAGTGATCTGTATGCAGCAGCCGATGCCCATGATCTGCCCACACTGCTTCAGGCATTTGGCCTTCAGCAGTGACTTTGGGATGGGCTCCCCTGTGAGTGCAGGAGTGGCCTGGCCCAGCCCAGCCCAGCTGTGACCTTCCCTGGGGAGAAAATATCAGTAGGGTTCACACATCTTCACTTTGGTAGGACAGATCATTGGCAACCATTTTTTTTGAAGGACCTCCTGTTGAAGAGTGCAATTTCCACTACACATCTGTTGTGGCCTGAGGATCTACAAGCTGTTCATGTTCTCGCCTCTATGGCTGACCACCCTCTGCTGATTGGCAGATGATCAAAGTGAGGAAAGGACAACCTCCATCTCTCTTGCCAGACTGTGTTTGCAGTCATGCCCAACATAATTTTGAAACCTTACACTGACCTTCAGAGACTGCCTTCTGGGCACATGAGTAACACAAGTTGCTTTGGTGGGGTGGGATTGCCATATTGCGAAAGGGTGATGAGTTCTGGCTTTTGAGTATGCTTCCCCTGTGTGCGTGAGTGCATCTGAGTATATGGGAGTTGCTAAAGAAAGCTGGCAGCAGCAGCTCCCTCTTCTGGGTACTGGTGCCTTTATGGTACAGCCACACATTGAGTCTTCAGAGCAGAGCACTGTACTCACACTAGGAACATGTATAGAACCCCTAGTCTATAGGGGTAAGAGGAGATCCTAGAGCTCACATGTGAGGGACTCTGATATAAATAAGAGTCTTAAAACGTAAAATCTCTCTCAAAACACCGAGGGGAGAGAGGGTCAAGTCTTAATTTTCACATGATCACCTGCCATTCTTTCTCTTTTGTGCAAAAGTTTTCCCATTCTGCTTGTAATTGATTCTTGTTAATTATAAATATCTGTATATGATTCTCTTGACAGAAATGTTTTTTTAATTATAAAGTATTTTGTATAATATAAAGGGGGGAAATTAAAATTGCCAAAATGATATGTCTCTGTGTGATCTTTTGGAGCTGCAGTGCACTGGGTAATTAGAGCTGTGGAGGTATAATCCTACTCCAATTCAAGAAGTAGGTCGTCATCCCCCTATGTTACTGTCTCCTCTTTCCCCACATGTTTTGTTTTATTGACAATTCCCATGTAAATGAAGTTTGCAATGAGGGATATGATGATTAAAACATTGTCTCTTTGAAGAACCTGGACTTTGAAAAGCAGGGACAGGCATGAAGCACTTACCCTACCACTGTCTCCCAGGCTTGTTTCTCTCTCACTGTATCCTCTCTCCACCCTGACAAGCAGGAGCAGAAAGCGTGGGCAGGGAACTGTGCTTGCTCTATGCTCCACCTGTGCCTGTCAGCCTCTGCCAGCAGTGTGGCACCAAAACCTACGTGCACTGTTTTGGAATTGTTATAATGCAGGCAGGATGGTGCTTTTTGCGACCGAAAACGCAGGGAAATGGTGCCTCTGCCTCAAATGCTGTGCTCTTGGTCAAGTGTGTTTTCCTTGCTTTTGCTTTCTCCTGGTCTTCACTGTTCTGCCAGACTCTTCTCTCAGTGCTTTTGCAGATCCTTGCTTCCTGTCCAGGTCTTTTTCTCCCTTTCCCAACTTCCTCCTGGTTCCTTTGAACGTTATTCCGTATCCAGTTCTCTGCTCTATTTGTTCACCAAGAACTTCCTCCACTCTGCTCATTGGTGACCTACATTCTTTTCTTCTTTCACACTCCTACAATCACAGCTTTGCCTACACTTCTCTGCCCGCCAGGCACCATTTAATGCTCCGTCCCTGTGGCACCCTAGTTGTCCCAGTTTTCCTGGCTGGTTGGCTATATCTCTTGACCTTGTGTTTTGTGTCCTTCCCTATCACATATCCTCTCTTGGCCCTGGAGCTAGAGTAGTCGTCAGCACTTGTTCTCTTTTCCTGTAAATCATTCTCTTTCCTTTGGCTCCCTCCTTCCTTAAATCATCTTAACTTGCAAGTCACTGCTTCTAGCTGCCTGTCTAGCATGACGGACCCTGACCTACAGACAGGGCTCCTATAATGATACTTATGCTACTAAAGAGGAAGAGAAACCTTAGAAATGGCCCTTGAGCCGCCTTGCCTCCTCTGTGATTACTCCCTCTTTAGTGTTTGTGCTATTGCTGAGGTCTGCCTTTGACCTAGACATCACTCCCTTTTTCTCCCTCTAGAGCTAAGGGAGGGATAAGAGGTTGAATTGCCTCAATCTGGACTGTATCTCGACATATCTTGTTAAGACTTGATTTTTTTTTTTTTTGGACAGCATGTCAGTTAGCAGCTGACTGATCTCATCTGTGCTCAGATTCAGCACCTTCTGCCTGCCTGCAGTAACTGTCTCTCTCTGGCCACTTCCAGACCAGACTTAGGTTAGGCCTCTGTAGGTATCTTGATCTTCTGCTTGAAATGGGGGAGAAAGCAGGCCTAGTTTGTATTTCCAACCATATCCACCCTCTCTGTCCCTAAGTTCTTTCATTCAGTGGAGATAGGTAGAAGGTGCTGAATATTTCAGACTGACAGAAAAATCAACATAGGGAGCAGCTTTTGGAGGTCTGTTGTCCATCCCCCTGCCCACAGTGTTCCCAATTGAAATGCTAGATCAGACTGCTCAGGGGCTTTGTGCTCTGCAGTTTCTATCTCCTTGCCTTTTTGCACCTCTTGTGGCATATTAAATACAGCGGCAGGACCTAGCACTGCTGAAAGCATGTGAACTGCGGAAGACCTCTCTTCGTTCTTTCCCAGTTGCAGGAGCATCACTGGGCACAAACTAGATTTTTCCTGGAGCGCTGGGCATGTGGTTAAAGTATGGACCGGTATGTATTCTTTCACTGACACGTCATGTTCAATTTCTAGTATGTTTTTGCCTTCAACATTTTATTTATTTGCTTGCTAAGGCCTCAAAAAGTCCTATATTGTCTCATGGTATTGTCCATATTCAACACTCACCTGGAGAGGTACCACAAAATTAGGTTTTCTGTTCTGTGAGATATTTATACCTCTAGCTTCAGTGTTCTTTGTTAACTTCTGTACTAGCAGGAAGAAGGATGCACTGCCAGTGTATTCTCTGCATTTCCGTTGCTGTTCCCTAATCTTGAGTTTCTGAGTTTCTTCATGATCCTGGGTTTTCTTAACCCTTAACCCTGGGTTAAACCACTCTGATCTCTTGTTCTGGGTCTGTAGGCTGCTCCCTATTTTGCCTGTGGGTGTAGAAGTCCTTTCAATTCAGAATGGGTAGTGAGCAGGTATATGTACTCTCACATTCCCTAGAAATCTACTGCTTAAGGACTGCCTGACCCAGAAATTGTATTTATACTTTTATTTAATGACCTTTGAATTTATCTTCTATGACTGTAATGTTGATTTTTGAACCAGTTGGTGCTTTTGGCCTCCACGATGTTCTGCGACTGCACAAATGAACAGTATTCGGTATCTGGAGTGTTTAGTTTGTTTTGAGCCTGCTGACTCTTCTTTTTCAGCCTCCTACTTTCGGTACTGTAATTGTGCGGAAAATCTCGCTGTCAAGAACTGAATGTCCAAAAAGGAGACAGAGGAGTCCTAAAATTTTATTCGAATAAAGGGAGAGTCCACCGGGCATATCCCTGTGGGGTCTCTCAAATTGCTGGAGGACGTAGCCCCCCTTTTATCCTAATTTCCCGACCGAGGGACGCCCTTTCCTTGTCCCCATTGGCCAAGGTACTTGGAAGTTACTGCCTTCCCGGAACCCCCTTATTGATGAATACAGAAACTTGAGCATTCCGCCCAATCCCTCCCCCCTTTTTTTTTTTTTTTCCTTCCTCCTTTGGACAATATTTGTTTTTACAAACCCCTATGCCCATCTCTAGAAGCATAACGGACTCTGCATAGGTTATTAACTAACAACCTGTGTTCAGTAGGTCTAGTATCCATGGGTAGTCTTCATATCCTCCTGGACTCCCACAGACCCAGCAACCCAGCATTTATTTTCCAGACCCACTCTAGCCAGTGGTACAGATTTACGGAGAGTTAGCCGGGGCTTTCCATCCTCTTCCTTCAACTGAGAAGTCCAGATTTCTGGAGTCTTGAAAATCTCAACTCTGGTATGATGAGTCGATCCATGCTCAGCTGTCTTGATTGATGTTTCTGTGGTTACTAATACCTGATAAGGTCCTCGCCACTTTGCTAGCAGTGGTGCTTCTTTCCATTCTTTGACCAAGCCCCAATCCCCTGGTTGGATATCATGGACTGCAAAATCCAAGGGGAGGGTCTGTGCAAGCTGGGCTTCCTGTCGGAGAGACTTCACAAGAGAATGTATTCTGGCCACAT